AAGCAATTGGTTTGCTCTTGCTTATTTTTCTAAAGGGGGGAAGTAACCACTAGTCCTACCTATCTATACAGTACCGATCCCTGTGACATCTATTTCCCTCTCTTAATTGTATTCTTCTTTCAGACATTTTCCTACTGGTTTGAACTCTGAACTGTTTTCAACTGACAAAAAAAAAATAAAACAAAGCTTGTTTAATTCATTTTTTCAGCTATAAACTTGTCATACTTCTAAACTGCATCACACGATGAGTGGAGTCCTGCTGATCCCTGTTTAACAAAGTTCCATTCAGAGTTTATGGAGTAGCAAGGATTCATTTGGAGAAATACAGTTATGATTAACCTCCTAGTTTTTTTTCAATTGATTTTTCTCTGATTCAATGTGATTATGATCACACATCACATCACAACACACATACACACACACACACACACACACACACACACACACACACAGAGAGAGAGAGAGAGAGCCACTTGGGTAAAATTAGTTTAAAGCCAAGTTTAATTAATGGGACCCACATTCACCTCCCCCCCCACACCCTACCCTATACACACAAGTTTGTAGAGAACAGAATTTTTCAGCGTTTTGACTCTTGTCCCCTCTTCGCCCCCTGTGAAGCCATTCTGTGCTTCTTCTATCAACACTGCTGAAATGAAAGAAAATGACGGAGGTGTAGGAAGTCCAGCTCTGCTCATTTGCCATTAAGTGAGTCTCTTGTTCAAAGTTTCTGGAGACTCGAGCTGCTTTTCAGTCTCAACTGATTTGTGTCTTGTTCCTTCCCTCCAGGTAGGCTTGCATTTCCAAGTGCAGTGTTGGCATTCACTGGTGTGAACAGTGGGGAAATGGAAGTAGCACAAGGAGACATAATGAAGCTAATTGGAGACGCAAAGGGAAGCCTAACGTTCCTTGAGGGTCTAATTCTCAGGGGCTGAGTCAAATCCTGTTGCCATTATATCTGATTGTTTGGAGAAAGAAAACTTAGTGTAAGACGTTCCCCAGAGCTGAATGAGGACTCAGAAGTCTGCTTCTCTTGTAATAGAGTGTGTTCAAACTCCTTCTTCAGGGCAATAGTTAAAACTGTGGATGTTCCTTGCTAAGGATCTAAGGTTTTCATATGAGTTAGCGGTCTTCAGGTTGGTTAAGACTAGTAGAAAAGGGTCTCACGTTGGCAAAATCTCTCTTGCACGGGATGCACGATGCAGCTAACTGATGTGCATGCAAACATGGGCACCAGCCCACCGTCGTCCTCCCCTGCACAGTCCTGCCTGTTGTCAGCATGCCTCTCGGCATGAGGGAAATAAGAGACCTCCTGGTTTGAATGATGGAATTCTCACAGTAGATGCTCTTGGGGAAAATAAATATGCCTAATTGCTTTTTTTTTAAATCTCAATTGAGTTATTTCAAACTAACACAGCAGCTAGATGGCTTCTTTTTTATGAACACTTTCTTCCTAGCTTCCTCTTTTCTCGTAGTCTTGCCAGACCATCCCAGTCTGGATCTGGTGCATGGTTCTGGGCTTCTCCCTGGGGTTTCAGCGATCATGCTTTATGGCCTTGAACACTTCACTTAAAGGGTCCTTCCACTTGAACTTCAGCTTTGAGGGATCCTGTTGTACACTGCTGGCGCAGGGTCTTAGCTCAGCAAACATTAGATTAACGAATGAACAGCATGACGTCACATAATCAGAAAGTTGTAAGTGATCTGTGGGACTCTGCCCTGTGGTAACACTTTCATGCCTAGCGGACTGCTCAGCATGTCTCAGACAGGCAGCAGGACCAATAGATAGATAAGCTTGATGAATAGAACTCATTTCATTAGGTAGCATCAGAACTTGGCTCAGGTTTCCTGAATGCCAATCTGAGGATCGTCCTGTCTCATTCCTACCTTGCTATCCACACATACATAGATATGTGTGTGAAGTAATTTTCTGAATAGCGTGGCTAATGTAGTAGCTAGCAATAGTATTAACTCTTTGACACATCAGAAAGAGAGGCAAAAAGCCAGTGGCATTTCATGCATTTTAAAGAATAAAATACTATATTGCTTATTTTCCTATTTTGTACATAGAGTAGAAGTGTGTGCACAGCCAGAGGTTGATGTCTGATGTCTATTCAATCGTCTATTGTCTCTCCACTGTATTGTGTCTTCACTCTTACCTGTTACGTCCAGAAATTTTCCATGTACGTAAGCAGGTTTGGATGTATGCATTAGTTTTTATAATGATGGGATTGCTTGATCTATAAATTATATTGCCTTGGTCTCTCAATGTTGTATTTTGAAATTAGACAGCTTCTGTCTCCCTGGCACTCATGTCCTCTGTTATAGTCCCCATACCACTATGGGGGGGGCTTTTCTGAGTCTGATTATGTCACTCCTTTGCTAAAAATGAAGAATGCTTAATGTTGTATACAAACTAAATTCTTGCAAACAAGCCAGAGTCGGTAGGGCAATGCGTGGGGGCAAGCGTGAGTCCCAGAGTGTACTGATCAGTACAACCTGAGACTAAGAAAGACACTATGGTAAGCCCTCGGTGCTGTGTCCCAGCCCTTGGACCTCTCTCAAGTCACATCAACTGTCCATAAGCTTTGGTTCTCACATGCTATAATAACATATCTTTTTCGATAACAGGAAAGAAAACATCCCCTTGTCATGATGCCTTACAGAGTTGATAATGACCAGCTTGGTAACCAGAAGTGACAATGTGGAACACTGTGGAGGTGGTTAGTTTAGACTGGGTGATGAGGGTAGAGCTCTGATGATGGTGGAATTGTCTGTCATGTATGGGCACAAGAAGAACCACGAGAAACTGGCAGTGACCTCAGACTCCCCGGGTCAGAACGGTGGGAACTTTGTATGTTTGACCCACACAGCCAATGGTATTAGACTATAGTATCTTTAGCTTTCCACAGAGGTGAGCAATCCACTGTGGAGGGTTAGATCGTAGTGACTTACCATTTTACAGATGAAGACAATCAACCCCAGAAAGAAAGCCATGTAATTCAGTGATGTATTTGCATCTACTGCTTTTCAGGTCAAAAGACTGCAGCATCTTGGAATTGTGCCCAGAACTCTGGATTCTGAACTTAGAATGGAACTCTGGGAATAGAGCTGCTGGTGTGACAAGCATGATTGTCACTGTTACACTGCTTCAGTTCTAAGATGCAAGGACGCACAGTCCAAATTGGTGCTTACAGATGTCGTCACAGGAACCCACAAATTTTATCAGTGAGCTCCATTGCTGAGAACTTTATTTTTCTCAAGTAGACAACATTTATAATATCTATCTCATAGAATTGTGATTAAGAATAATTAACATTTTCACTTATTCACTTATTTGATAAATATTGACTGACTGATGATACAGGGGATTAGAACCAGGTTTCTTGCATATTTTAAGTTCATACCACTGAGCTCTAGCCTTAGTCATACTAATACTCATTAAATGATTATGTGTCACAAACTATAAGCATCAATGAGACTATTGTAGTGAACGAAACACACCCCTACCCCTGATGAAGCTTAATCCTGGCAGATGAACTGTTCCTTCCACAGAAAAAAAGGCTCAGTTAATATTTCTGACAACACACTTTTAAATCACTGTTTTCTGGATCTCTCCTTTAACACTTAACCGATATCATTTCTTTGTAGTACAAAAAATAAAAGCCCGGAGACTGATAATTGGGGTTCAAGCTTTAAGCTGAAGATCAGAAAAGCAAAGCAGCCGGCCTCTAACTTTTACCATTCCCTCAGGCTGAAAGGTCTGTCCTCTCCCCAGCTTGTCTGGAAAATAAATCTCCACATGAGGCCCTTTGCTTTTTCCTTTTATACCTCTCAAATCCTGAGATTAAAGGCATGTGATCCCAAGTGATCACACCTATGTGTGAGCTGTTTCTCTTTAGGACTGGATCAATTTCATGTAGCTCAGTGTGGCCTTGAACTAACAGAGATCCATCTGCTTGTCTCTTGCGTCTCAGAATTACAGGTGTGTGCCACCACCTGGCTCCATGGCTTGCTAGCATGGCTGCTGGGATTAAAGGTGTGTACCATCATCACCTGGCTCTATGGTTTGTGGCTGGCTTTGCTTTCTGTACCCTCAGGCAAGCTTCAATAAATCATAAATAATCTATCACCACAACTTCTTAATTAGTGGATATGTTATCAATCTTGAACATCACTATGCTTCCTCTAAAACCACGAACACATCCATCTTCCTGCCTGAGACCTCCCGTGTTCACGTTCTTCGTAAGCTAAATACTAACAGAAAATTTGGCATGCATTCCATACTGCACTGTTTTAAGAATCAGCTTTTGAAATTGGCCTGCCCATATGTGAAAGCTTACACATGGTACATAAGGATAAGTCCATCTGATCAAAAGTAGGTTGAGAATCTGGTTAAGATTACTTACATGATGTCAACCAAGTCTATGAGTTCTTCCGGGCTCTACCTAGTCAGCACATGCCTAGCAAGAAGAAACTGCATTCCAAGAAATCAGCTTAGGAGCCTCAATAGAGAGAGTGTCAGCCTGGTGAGGTCCACGTGAGACCTGCCCAGGAATGTGAAGAAAGGTCAGCAAGGTTAAAGGGTAAACACAGCACTACACACTTGTTAAGTTCTAGGAGTGAGTCTTGCATGCGGGAGCATTTGGCTGAGCTACAGATGGCTGTTTGAACAGTCGTGTCTTCTAGAGCTGCAGTGATGAGCCTGGTTGCTCTGATTTGTGCTGGAAAAACCAGCACAGAATTTGGGTCAGCACAGCACATGACTTTAATATCCTCCATCTGCCAGACAAACTCATTTGGAGAAAAAGGAACATGTGAGCAAGAATTATTCATGCTCTTCTGTGATAACATCTACATATAATTCAAAAAGCCAAGTGACAGGGAGTTAGTTTTCCTTTCACTGCAAGAGGGCAGAAGCTGGTACATCGCATGCAATTGTCTGGTTTCAGTGCTGCAGATGGCAAGGATTCCAGGCTTCCCCAGCTAAATGCAGAACCTACCTTCCTTCCTCGCAGGCACTGCTGAAGTTCCGGCTTGGTTAGGACATTGTGTTGGCAGTTGTGTGGCTGCCAGGTTATTTCTCTCCAGTCACAGGTCCTGTTGTCAGAGCAACTAAGGCAAGGCACAATCCACTGGCCTAGAAAACACAGGAAGACTTCATTTGGCTTAGTTTCTGCTGGTGAAATTACACTTTGCAAGTACGGAACTCAGTGTCACACAACTACAGAAGCTAACATGAGAAGAACGTTCTGATCTAATAAATCCACTGGGAAAGTGTATAGCCTCCTCTGAATCAAGCGGAAGAGCAACATGACTGTACGTGGTGAATAATAGTTCATGCTGAAGTCAGGGGTGAGTTCTGTCCAATGAAACCACATAAGTACAAAGGAAACAGGTGATTGTGTGCTACTCAACCATTAACTTGCTTTTGAATAGGCTAAAGTCTACTGGGAGTTCCCAAGTTATCAGTGGGCCTCAAATTTTTATCAATCTGACACAGAAGGTTATCAATACAATAAAAGACATGTTCCCCTTACTCAAGAAATTTTAAATGAGGGAGAGATATATCAGTATTTTGATAATTTATCGTTTTCAAGATTGGTTATTATTCCTTCATTTGATTGATGCCACTTTGGGTGTGTTTATTTCTATTTTTCTTTAATAGCTGTGTCCTCTTGGTTTTCTCATAAGCTGGATGAGGTGGGTAGTGTGTGAAGATGCAATGAGCTAATATATCCAAATTAATCATAGCGATAATCCACCTGTTGTTACTGGCAGTTTTTCTGATTTTGATTAATGAAAAATTTACAAAGCTACTTCTGGTTTTGTGGGGTGCACTGTGGGTAGAGGTCACCAGCGACTCTTGGGAGGTGATTCTTTCCTCCCACCATGTTTAGACTGCAGGGTGTCATTTGTTAATCTCCATGGTTGCACTGCTTTCTCCAGGATGGCTGGCCTGGAGGATTCTCCTGTCTCCACCTCTCATCTTTTCATAGGAGTTCCAGGGTTATAGCCGGCTGTGCAGCATCAGACCAGGCTTTTTACTTGGGTTCCAGTCACGGAACTCTGGTCGTTAGGTTTATGCATCTAGGGCTTGTACTCGCCGAGCCATCCATCTCTCCAGCCTCAAGACAAATTTTAAATAAAATTTTGTGCCTCTTTCAAGTCTGATTTGTGAGGCCGTGTGCAAAGTCTCTAGTGTGATGTGAATTGCAGTGGAGAGATTTTCAACCTTCAAGACATGAATATAAGTATCTATTACATTCTCGACCTCAGGAGTGTCAGAATTGTGTATGCGCGTGCTGGTGTGTGTTGAAACGGTTGTAAATAAGCCACAAAGTGAAATACGGTGCATGGCCTCTATGTATCGGCTGTAGAAAGGGAGAAATAGTGTCAGCATATTAAGAGAAAGGAGCTGGGAGGGGGAAATAAAAGCAGAAGGACATGAGTTGCAAGAAAGGAAAGGGCTGTATACAAGAGTAACTTTAGCAGGTAGAGTGCCAAATGAAGCCAGAACATAGGACTAAAAGTTCCTGGAATGTGGGCACATATCCCCTTCTTGACACACAGTTTTCTTTTTTCTGGTTTTTAAATGTAAGGAGAATTTCAGAAAATGGCCTTATCCAGTGTCTACATGTCAGTACTTGCAGCTTCAGGAATGGTCACCATGTCCATCATGACTCCTGGGCAGACCAGTCTTTCAGTGTGCTGTGTCAATTGCAGGCACCAAAGATCAAATTGGCAAGGTATTCGGTGCCATGACATTAAAATGCCACGGGAATATAAACACAGCTAGTACTATTATGTGCCAATCATGTTTAAGGCATTTAACATATGAACTTATTTAACCCTCAAAACTATCTTGCCACCTCTCCGACTGGAATTCAGGAAGATGAATGTTCTTGACTTCTGCTGAGAAGGGAGTGGAACAAGGATTTGAACTGAGCAATCAGGGCCCCCACTTTTAATTATAATCCCAAATCTAAGGAAAAAAGCAATGATAGTCAGATTCAAGGGTTAGCACTTACTTGTCAGAGATCATAATTGTATCCTGTTAGATAATGCAAAGTTGAGTAGAAAACCTGTGATGGTGAAATAACTCGCGCTGTGGAGACACTCACGTCCCTAGGCTCTGCATCCTCTAGTTAGTTTGTGGAACTCAACATGGATTACAAATCTGATCCAGAAAGCTCGCACATTGGTGCAACATTAAGTATGAGTTTTACCCATCTCTCTATGTATTTTAAAATGCTTTCAGATGGTTCCCTAGCACAGCCAAGGTTGCAGCTCCCTGTTTCAATTGGACAAATGACTTAATGTTTTCATGATTAAATTTACTACTTTATAAGGAAAGTATGTATGCACCTGCCATGGTGCCTGGCGCTTAGCTGCCCATAAATAGATTTTAGCCCTGTGTCCTAACCACAAGTATGCCGTGGTGGTTCATAGTAAAGTGAAAACAGAGAGTTTTCTGGAAATTTCATTGGATGGAAACAGGACTTTGCTGAGAGATGAGTTTCAGAAGTATTGCAAGCACAATGTTTTGTAAACAGTGAAGGAGTGAGGCAGAATGGACTGGCCTCTGCATAGACTGTGGCGACTGGGAAGCCTGGGGTCTGCCACATGGAGGCTGTTTCCACAGTGTGCAGATGGAGACAGAGAGAATAGAACTATTGCTCAAGGACAGAGGGTGAGGGGGACATGGGAGTTTTAAATGGCAAAGGGAAGAGATTTACCTCCAGAGGGTGTGCAGAATGGCCTGGGATGGAGTTGGAAGGGAACTCAGAGCTGGTCCTTAAGGTGATATCTTTCTTGCACAAATAAAGCCTGTCTGGGGGTCAGAGAATGGAGCTTGCCACTAGCTAGCCATAGAGGTCTGGAGGTCTGGGCAGACAAACCGGAAGTGACGTATCTGAGCAGAAACAGGATATAACCAGGGAGAAACAGGAACTCGCTCTCTTCTCTGCTGAGACACTTAGGAGGTAAGGTGTGCTGTGGCTTGCTCTTCTCTCTGATCTCTCAGCATTTCCCTCTGTATCTGACTCTGGCTTTTTATTATTTAGACCAATTAATAATTTAGACCATTTACAGGTCCTCATCACATTCTTGTATCACAGATGCAGTAAATGGAGGCATCAAGCAGTTAAGTGAATGGAGTGAGTTTAATACCAGAGCTGGACCATAATCAAGAACCACCAGTGTGTCAATTCTGATAGCATGTTAGGCCACTTTAGTACAAAATCATCAGCTGAAAATGACAGAACTCAATAGTGCTTTGGGGAAGACCTTCATTATCTGATCATCTTAATGATCTTTTTCTTTATCTTAAAAAGTTGAATTTAGGGGTTGGAGACATGGCTCAGTGGTTAACAGCACCCACTGGCTGTTCTTGAAGAGAACCTGGGTTCAGTTCCCAGCACCACATGTGGGTCACAACCATCCGTAACTCCAACTCCTGGTCTCCACAGATACCAGGTGTGTACATAGTGCACGTATACACGTAGGCAAAACACTCATTCACATAAAATAAAACAATTAAAAATTTTTATCAAGTTGAATTTATTCAGTGGTGTATGTGTTGATAAGGACTGTGGATGACAGTTTTCTCATAAGATGACAGTATGTTAGTTTATTTATTGTTTTTAATCAGATTCCTGTATATAAAAGAGCATCATGTGCCCAGAACACTCTCAGTTCCCCAATCTTGCTGATGGCTAACTTCCCACAAACTGAGGGATTCTGTGGCTACTTATGTTATGAAGAAAAAAATGGTCAGCTGGGGGAAACATTCAAATATGGATGCAATTAATTTTTGGGCATTAAGTCTTACATACATTTAGAAAGAGGCTTGATTTGGTATCTGCAAACTTGGCCCCTATGTCACATACTACTGCATATTTAGGCAGCCACGACTTTTTCCATGTTTTTAATCAGTTAGCAACGCCTTTATTTACTGCGAGTTGAAGTGGCCATCTGTGCAACATCTGTGAGACTGGGATTCTTGACATCTTAAATGACACCAGCTCTTAACTAAAGTTGTCAAAAAAGGAGGGACATAAACCCTTTGCTATATATTTAAACAGTGGGTGAATCCAAGATGTAAATTTTGAAATCAATTATGATATATATGTTAAGTAATGACATCCTGGGGAATGAAACTGTCTTTTAGAAAAGTTATTTTCTTTATAGTTTGAGCTCTCTGCTGAATGCAGATGAAATTTCAGCCACTTGAGTGAACCATATTGGATGGCATCATGGAGAAAACATGTTCTTGTCTTTTAGGACGATGGTGGACATAAAATCATGGAAATACTAATTTCTCTTGTATAATCTCATAAAATAGAGGTTTTTTTAAGTTAATAAAAACCTACATTATAAACTTCGGAAGTACTAGGGTTTTGGTGATCATACTTTATTACTAACAATAAGTTATAGAGAAATTTTTTTTCATTGTTTATATATTGTGATTTGAGGTTGGTTTTTATTATTATTTAATGATCATTGTATACATGCCCTGTCCTCCAAATTAGATGTACTACTTTTACTTTATTAAGCATTATTATCTTATTTCCAAGAGATTAGAAGTCACTTTAGGAATAAAAAAGAAATGCAGTGATTTAAAGATATCTAAGCCAGTGTAATTGAGAAAAGATAGTTTGGCATTATTATATTACAGATAAAAGAATGGATCCAGTTTTGCCAAATAGTTGTAGCAAATTATTAAGATAGCTTTTTGGGCCAACGAATGTTTAGCTAAACACACAAGTAGATTCCATTCTAGCATTGTCTACCATGGCAACTTCTCTCTTCACACAAAGGAAGTCCTGTTATCTCTGGAACACACAGTACATTCTAGAAAAATATTGATCAGGTTTTGTCAGTATCTTAGGGTCTGTGGGCCTTTTGCTGTGCGCTCTCTCTCTCTCTCTCTCTCTCTCTCTCTCTCTCTCTGTGTGTGTGTGTGTGTGTGTGTGTGTGTGTGTGTGTGTGTGTGTGATAGATTTCTGTGTCATAGATTTCTGTGCCATAGATTTCTGTGGAAGGAGAAAAGGTTTAAATCTTGGTTTCATTCCATAAGCCATGTAGTTTTTTCTTTACTGACTATTAGACATTGGAAGACCAGTAGGGACGATTTATGTTCTTGAGAAATCTAATCTAGGAAAACCATCAGCAAAGACATACTGCTCATGTGCCCTTGACGTCTTAGCACATATACACTGTAAGATATGCAGATGCTCCTATGTTTATATATGGAGTCCTTCATAAAACATGGAAATAAAAATGATTAGATACAACGCAGATGCACATATATTTTCGTCTTCATTAGTTTCATGGCCAGGACTGTTTGTGATGTTCCCTGCCCTTGCTGGTGTACGTCACTCCATTCTGGGATCACTGGTCTCTGACACACTTGAAAGAGAAGGAAGTAGGCACTATGGTAATACCATACCTGGATTGCTCTGGGAACACAGAGAAGCTACCCTGGGGATGTGGCAGGGAGAGGCTGGCTACAGAGAAGGATATGGCATCAGATGGTACGAAATGACTCTAAGGAGGAAGTCTTGTAATTTCTGGCTGTAAAGCATGGCAGTCAGCATGGGGGCCTTCTCTAAAGGGGTCTAGCAGTGTACCAAATCAAGTCCATGCACTTAAATATCAGAAGGCTGCTTCTCTGTGACACCCTCCCCCATGGGGAAGTTCAATAAGAGATGTTCCAGAGCCCAGCTGACGTGACTGCGCTTCACTGGCTGGAACACACTGCTGTCTCTTGAGCGGCCAGTGTCATGAACTTAGAGTGGAAAAGCCTTTGACTCGGTTGTCATACAAGGAGTAGAATTAAGTTGCTTTATGGTTATCATAAATTGTCAACTGATTAAAACAATACTGAATTGGACACAGAGGTGTCTCCTTTGAAGGTTGAATCTGTGTGTCCTTCAACAGGCAGACACAGATCACGGCACCTGACCCTCCTTAACAGGCCAGTCCCTCTCTGACTGGAGTTTATTATTTAGAACACATGTTCAAGAATAGGACATACCCACGTTTGCTAACTGCATGCCAAATTGCAATTTGCCCTGCCCATTTGGGAAATACATTTCCCGTTCCAGAAGCCGTGTGAAGTTCACAGCAAGGCTAGTGCAGCTGTTTGTGTTTTCTTGGGCCTTTCTGAGGAGGGGAGTCCTGGGGTGAGGATGGAGCAGTTCTTCAACCAGGACAGTTGAAGAACCCATGCCCCGAATCTCAATCTCAGCACTAGCTCTGTGTGATGGTGCTCTCCCTGCTGGAAGTAGATTGAGAGGAGGAAAACTTAAGTGGGTAGAGTCAGAAGAGTATCTCATTGCAGGTCTGGTCATGGCTCAGGAGAGATGTAATGCTGCAACCCGAGTCTGATATCCTCCTTTGCCTATTTATATGAATGCTCAAAATACGACAGGTATCTGTGGTCATTTCCAACCTTTTGTCTACAATGAAAACAAATTCTTTAAAACTGGGTATTTCTTTTCTACCTACCGTGTGTCAATTACGTATGGATTCTGCATATACGTACTGAGTTGCTGTAATACGCAAAATGGAACTGGGGGTATGGTTCAATGGGTGAAGGTACTTGCTTCTTGGCCAGGAGACCTCTCGTTCCCAGAGACCCACATGACGGAAGGAGAGAACTGACTCACACAAGCTGTCCTCTGACCCTCATGTGCATGCCTTGACATCCACACACAAATGAAAATGTGATAACAATACGGTGGAAAAAAAAAGCCAACTTCCTGCCTCATGAAACCAATATCTGGGGAAGAATGGGACACTAAACAATGAATTATATCCTTAATTTAAATGTAGAGATTGTGCTACAAGAAAAGTGCAGAGTTAGGAATTAAGTTCAAAGCTGAAAGAAGGCTCCTGGCAGGTTTGACCTCTGATCTGTGATTTCTAGATGGCTATGGGTTAGAAATGAAGCATGCAAAGGGTTTGATGAATCAAGTGTTTCAAATATAAAAACAATGTAAATAAATGCATTATCTTGCTGTTTGTGTGAGTGAAAAAGGTAGGATCCTTGTTTAAAATAAGGGTAGACTATATTGGATAGGCTAATTAAACACATACTAAGGATATTTAAAAGAAATGTCCCAATTATCTTAGAGAAATGATATCCATGTAATCACCTTTAGTGTCCCCAGATGGACAACTCTCTATTTTAGGCTGTGAAATGGCTTCAATGTAGTCTGAAGAAATAGGCTGCAACCCACAGGTTTCTTCTGGTTTAATCAATAAACCGCAATCCTGCATTAAAATGAAAAAAAAGATAGTTGTCACATCACTAACAGATCCCATGATAAGAAAACAAAACAAAACAAAACAAAAAACCAACAACAACAACAAAACAAACGGGAAGACACAAGGCAGAGTACTGGGACTCACTAGCTGGCCAACTTGGCCTACTTGGTTCCAGGTCAAGTTTTTGCCTCAGGAAGAATGTTGACAACTCCCAAGGTTGCTCTTTGGCATCTGCATGCATGTGGCCACACATGAATGCCTATCTGCACACACCTGTGCACCTACACCTGCACATAGAATTTGCACTTGTGTATACACATATATACACAAACACACACACACACACATACACACACACACACACACACATACACACACACAGAGAGAGAGAGAGAGAGAGAGAGAGAGAGAGAGAGAGAGAGAGAGAGAGATTTTCTGTGACAAATAACTTTTAAGGATGAAAGGAGTACAAAGTCAGTGGGTATCAGAAAAGGGTGCTACTCCCCACAGCTGGGTATTTTGTGTGCTCAAAAAAAGAAAATCGTGGTACACTTTGAAAGCGCTCACTGCACTTGGGAATTTTGGATCTAGCTATCGCATGAACTGGCGGTGATATTATGTCACATGATCGAGCTTTCTCATTACAAAATGGTGAGGGGTAGTGAGTGGAGAGAAAGGAATTATATCACATGACCTCAAGTTCAGTGGCAGATAGTCTTAGGTGCCTGCACAATAGCCACCTGTATTTCTTGCCCACTTTCCTTCAACTTTGTTGTTGTTGTAGGTAGCTATGTGCTCCATGTTTCAAACAAATCTATTTCTCCACATTTCCTGTAGATAAAACTGGTCACAGATATAGCTGTGGCCAAGAACTGTACATGAATTTCAGTGGTGGATTTCTGGGAATGATTGAAGTCCCCAGTAAAACATTTTCCTTCTCTATATCTTCTTTCACATGAAACTAAAAAATGAGCAGCCTTCCTGTGATCATGGAGGAACTGGGATCAGAAAGGGTACAGATAACTCAGTGGCAGTACTTCCAAGGATCTCACATTAAAAGAAAAATGTAGTAGTGTTATGTTATTTATTAAAACTTGATTGAGGACTCAGAAAAGCAAAGTCAGCCTCAAGCTATAGAGATCAGGCAGTGGTGACACACACCTTTAATCCCAGCAGCTGGAAACCAGGAGGTGGTGGTACTACATACCTTTAATCCTAGGACTCAGGATTAAGAGATAGATGGATCTCTGTGAGTCCAAGGCCACCCAGATCTACACAAGAGTGAGTCAGTCTGAAAGAGAATTAGAGCTCACACCTGTAATCCCAACATTGCAGAAATATATAAGACAGAAGCAAGGTCTCAGAGAGGCATTCACTCCCCAGCCATGCTGAGGAGAGGTTTCATTCTGAGGCTTGGTGGGATCTCCTGGAGACAGGATCAGCCCATTCAGCCTGAGGTAGAGGTAAGAAGCTAGTGGCTGGCTGCTTTGCTTTTCTGATATTCAGCTTGAAGCTTGAACCCCAATATCAGTCTCTGGGTCATTTATTTATTCATGTTACAGAAAAAAAACTATAGAAGAGCTATAACTGGCAGTTACCATAGTCGTGGTTAAAAATATATTTAGATTTCCCTTTTGCTTCCTTTTCTTTCTAGAAAGAGTTAACAACACACACCTTTGTCTGCTTTACAAAACGGAGTGGCCTTTTGTGTGAGATAAATTGATGAGAAGCCTGAGTTTCTCTGATGTAAAATTTGGGGACACATGGATGTATATGCCACAGGGCATGTGTGGAGGCCAGAGAACAACTTGAGGGGGAGGCTGGATGCCAATTTGAGGGAATTGCTTCTCTCCTTTCACCATGTGAATCCCCAGGATTGAACTTAGGCAATCAGTCTTGGCAGCAAGCTCCTTACCCTCTGAGCCATCTCATGGCCCCTTGAGTGTTTTCTTTTGCTCTACCTTTTCTTTTTGGCTTCCTGCCTTTCAGGACAGGCTTGTGGTAGCTAGAACAACTATTATGTGATATAAAGGAAAGACCAGAGCTGTGCTGATATACATATTTCTGACTTCCCTGATCTGAAAAAGTGCTTGCTTCAGGTTCTATTAGTTGGGGTTGGGGTCACTCACAAAACAGCCAGCTGCATTTGACATTACAAGTTACCATCTTCAAATATGCCCTGTACCCTTTAAGCTCTCCAGGAGATCACAAGAGCCCTGGTTTCCAGGTCAAACCTGTTACCAGTCTCTTCACTTTTCCCAAGCATCCCATGAATCCCCATGCCTTTACTTAGACTATGTCCCTCTGACTTAATTATTGTCTCTCTTGACTTCCGTTGATGCCATGTGGACCTGTGCATTTTCATTTATTTCCCATTGGAATTGCTTTGACTTCTTTATGGATCTTTCTTGTCAACCTATTGCCAGCCCACCCATCCATTTCCTGTTTGTTGCTAAATATCTTTCCCATGCTAGTCTTATTATCCCCCCTTTCTATCTGAACCCATTCTCTAGACTGTAGTGAAAGAATTGACTCAAACAGCTATTGGTTTGTCCGGGGCACCTTTCTTTATTGTCTCTGTGCCTTTCCCTCCATAGCTGTCTGATACTCCTCTGCCATCTTCTGTGGGTGCCTCTTCTACGTAGCTGGTTCTGGTGCACTGATGTCAGATGTGTGCAGTGTTGCTCTTTTCTTGTTTTCCTATGGTAACTTCCTTTATCGTTCAATCTCTTGCTATGAGGACAGAGAGCCTGACTTCCATGTTTACAGCGTCTGTCTCTATATCATGTCACTGGGAACACCACAGTTATGCCATAGATGCACCATCGGGGACATGGAAAACATGGTGTGTGCCTGCAATGGTCATGTTGTTTCCTTCCAGTTGTGAGGAGAAAAGATACAAAGAAAGTTTAGCTGATAGTATTTCATCTTAGGGTCTTTTAAAAAGTTTTTTAAAAATACTTCTTTTTTTTTTCCTTAGGAATGTAGGAAAGATAACTCCTAAATTATAGAACACAATAAAAATTAAACTGCACTAAAGGAAGCACTTAGAATATTGTTGGGGAATATTGCTTAAATCATCAGAGGATGACAGCTCCTGACATAGATAAAGTACATTTTATTTTTTCTAAAAATCCATCATAAGGGTTTTCGGAGAAACTGTCAAGGTGCCCTGTAAGATCTGATGTTCTATGATGGGTAAAAGGTACCCTGCAAGATATGATATTCTAAGATGAGTTCTGCAAAATGGAAAAAAATGAAGTATTTAGATTTCGAGACTTGCCAGGACTTTGATTGAGGTTCTTCTATGAAACTCAATGCACAATTTTGATTCTGCAACCTTTGTTTCTTTTTGGCACGAAGATGGTGTTCTTAAACACATACTGGAAAATAAGATCATATGTCCTGAGTTGAATGTTGCTCAAATTTCAGATGCCTATTAAGGAAAACTACATCATAAATAAGCATAACTTGGTACAATACTTAAACAAGTATGGCCAGTTATGTATTTAGGATATGCAGAGTTTTATTGTTATAAAAGTTCCATATCCACAAATGTAACAAGAGACATTAATCAACATATTTAACTTATTAAATATGTATCAGGTAACTCATCTGCTCTATGAATACAGTATTCATATGCATATCAATTACCAGTTGGAGTTTCTAAGACACCTTCCTCATGAAAAAAAAAAAAACAGCTAAATCACCCCAGCATTTTGGTGATGTCCCTATAGATAGAGCAAGACATTACTTTTGTCATCTGAGTTGAGGCTTTCTGGGAACGGTCCAGTCCTTTTTCTGCTTTGCTCCACCTCCACCCCATCCTCAGTTGGAATTTGGTTGGTCAAATTCAGCTATACATGGACTTAGTTTGGTGTGCATTAGTCTATGGTGTGAGCTCATGGCAATAACCATGTGCTTATTTAGAATGATGGTGGGCATGTGATCATTTTAAACATGACTCCTAATTGAAAATAATGTATGTCATCAATGAAAAGAAAGAGATTCACTTAAGGATGGGTCCCAGTTCCAGCTAAAAGGCCATCAGAACAAAGACAAATGAGAAATTAGACTAATCATGTCTTAAAGAGAGCCCGGCATGCTGTAATTCTAACCTGTCAGATGTACAGGTTAGATGTACCCATTGGTGCAATAGTGGCATGGAGATTATATGGAAAACCAACTACTTTGAGCTTATTTTTGAAGCCTGCTCCACAAAAGAAAATTCATGCATGGTACTATTATCCTATTCCGAAGTTCATGGCTTAGGAGGAAGGCCTAAGTGGGGGAGTCTAATACTGGTGTATTGCTAAATCCATATGTTGTCCAA